ATCCAAAATATATAAAGAGCTCACACACCTCAACAAACAGAAAGCAAATAATCCAATTAAAAAATGGGCAGAGGAGCTGAATAGACAGTTCTCTAAAGAAGAAATTCAGATGGCCAACAGACACATGAAAAGATGCTCCATATCGCTTGTCATCAGAGAAATGCAAATTAAAACCACAATGAGATATCATCTCACACCAGTAAGGATGGCTAACATCCAAAAGACAACAACAAATGTTGGCGAGGTTGTGGAGAAAGGGGAACCCTCCTACACTGCTGGTGGGAATGTAAATTAGTTCAACCATTATGGAAAGCAGTATGGACGTTTCTCAAAATGCTCAAAATAGAAATACCATTTGACCCAGGAATTCCACTTCTAGGAATTTACCCTAAGAATGGAGGAGTGCAGTTTGAAAAAGACAGATGCACCCCTATGTTTATCGCTGCACTATTTACAATAGCCAAGATATGGAAGCAACCTAAATGTCCATCAGTAGATGATTGGATAAAGAAGATGTGATACATATACACAATGGAATATTACGCAGCCCTAAGAAAAAAACGAATCCTACCATTCGCAACAACATGGATGGAGCTAGAGGGTATTATGCTCAGTGAAATAAGCAAGGTGGAGAAAAACAAGTACCAAATGATCTCACTCATATGTGGAGTATAAGAACAAAAGAAAACTGAAGGTACTAAACAGCAGCAGAAGCACAGATCCCAAGAATGGACTAATAGTTACCAAAGGGAAAGGGACTGGGGACGACGGGTGGGAAGGGAGGGATAAGGGCGGGAAGAAAAGAAAGGGGGCATTACGATTAGCATATAGTGTTGGGGGGGCACGGGAAGGGCTGTGCAAGGCAGAGAGGACAAGTAGTGATTCTACAGCATCTTACTATGTTGAAGGACAGTGACTGAACTTGGTGACAAGTAGTGATTTTACAGCATCTTACTATGTTGATGGACAGTGACTGAATGGGGATCTGGGGGGGACTTGGTGAAGGGGGGAGCCTAGTAAACATAATGTCCTTCATGTAATAGTAGATAAATGATACAAAAAAAAAAAAAAGATAGGAAACTCTCCCAGAATGTAGAGCAGAAGCAAAAAGGCAGTAAATGCAAAATCAAAAGACAGAGCATCAAAATCAATCCAGATTATCCAAAATCCAGTTTAATGTCTTCCCATCTTTCTTTTTCTATATGGCATTGGTACCTTCTAATAAATTATATAATTTACCTCTAATTTTTTTACTGGTCTTCTCTAACTACAACATAAAGTTCCAAAACAGCAAGATTTATTATTTTACAGACTACATTCCAGGGCTTATAAGACTACTCCATACATGGCAAATAACTGAAGAATTATTGGTTGAATAAATGAACTAACAGCTCCAAAATTCTGAAAGAAAATGATTTTGGGCCTAGAATTTTATACTCAGTAAAGCTGTTAAGTATGACCAATAGAATAGATTCAGTGAATTATCAGCCACGTGCTTTTTAAAGTAAAAGTGTTTTAGGATAGCAAATATAGCTTTTAAAGGAAAAGGCAATTAAGACAGTAAATGACTATGTGATGAAAGGAAGAGTTCAACCCAGGAGTCCAATTAAAAGAAATTCCTGGATGACAGTTGTCACAGCAATTGGCCTATGTTTAAAGATATCAATGACCTTAAAGACTGGACCCCATTCCTAAAGGAGAGTAACAAGCTGGAGTTTCTTAATAAAATAGAGAACAAAGTCTTCACTCAAAATACAAAAATTGGAAACTCGAGGGAAAACAACAGCAAATATAAGAAGCCATATCCAAAAAGGAGGTGAATCAACCCTCAGAATACCTGAATGTAAGCAAAATGGCTGACTTTGCCATTTGGAATGCTTTCTGTCAAGAAGCATAGGGGCTGGGACACCAAACTCTTGGAGAAAAATGTACCACCTGACTCAGACATGACAATACTTACATTACCACAACTGTGTAAGTGATCTTTATCAGTTCTCAACAGGATCAGCTTTGAGACAAAAGACCTAACTATGGTTGTAAGCTGGAATGTAAATTTTATCAACCTTGTTAATGTAACAGTAAAAGGTACACTGATCAAAACTGCACGGTAGAGAGAAAGGTCTTCATATCCTTATTCTCCAAAATAAGAAGTGAGATAATGGCTAAATTTGATAGAACAACAAAAACCTTGTAAGAAAAGGTTAAAAGCAGTCACTTCTGAAGAGTAGGTTTAGGTTTATGTAACGCAAAGAACTGTTATTTGTTATAAATTCTCTAGCATTTTTTTTTACCATGCATCATACATTATTTTGATTTAAAAACAGTACCTGTTACTTTACTTATTGCCCAGGATAAAGTGTTGTCACTGTTAGAGTCACTTATGTCCATCAGCCACTCTTTAAGCCTCCCTAGAATGGACTGTCTACATGGAGTACACGAGTTAGGGAGAGTACCACTGCAGATCATTCTGTCTCAATAAAGTTTCCTGTATTTCAAACTTTTCCTTTGTCTGTTAACACTTGGACAGTAAATGAGAATTAAGTTCAGGAAATATTTCTTGGAGAGTCACTTAAAACACACACACACTCAACATAGAGAGCTCAGGAAATCAAACTTGTTTTAGCCAATGAGTTTTTCATTTATTTCCCTTGTGATCATCATGATTTTCATCTAAGCAAGTTGCCAAAATACATTACCTCTGATTTTATATAGACTGTAAAGTTAGGATATAAAAGGCATATAAACATCTACAAATACCAAAACATTTGTGACCTTGTAATTTTACGATGCAAGAAAAGGGGCACACATAAGGAATACAAATAAATTATATCTAAAGGTTACATACAACATTTCCTTTGATTATTTATTAAAATCCACAAGAAAACAGGAATGTTATTAAGCCTTTACAAACAATTGGGAACACAATCTGACAGTGTTTGCTTCAAAGTCCTGTTCACATCCCCAGCTTAACAGGCACTGGAGACAGCCAGCTTCTTCAGATGATCCATGAATACCTGCAGGCTAACGTCATCAGTTAGGATGGGTGCTCCCGTTTCCTAAGATTTAATGAAAAAGGCTTATTTGCAGGTATCTTAAAAGCTGGTTAGCATTCATGAGTTATTAAGGAGCTTTCCACCTTACAGCATTCACAAGTGTTAACCCTCTCTGATATGAGTACTCCCACCATCCTGGTCCTCTGTCCAGCTAATTCTTTCAACTGAAGCATAATTTCCTCACAGAACCATTCCACGACCCACTGAGGCCAACCCTGCCACTGCAAACAGTTCTGAGCATATGCCCTTCTACTTTACCTCTCTCCAGAGTTCTGATGACTGATTCAGAGTATGGCTTTCCAACTAGGCATGAGCTGGTAAAGCGCCACCCTGCTTATTGGGGTGGTACCAGGGGAGGCCCAGTGGACAGCCAGCACTTTCACCATCATGCAACAGTATCAAGGCCACCTCTACAGCAGGATCAGTGGAAACTAAGTGGGGAGCTGGAATGCCCATCTCCACCCGGCAGTAACAAGGAATTATCCCCAACCTCATGTGTCATCAGAGGCCAAAGGAAAACCTACACTCCTATCTTTACCTGCCAGTAAGGAGACAATGTCTCCTCTCCACTTCCCTGCCAGAACAGTGTGACAAAAAGCCAGCTAAAATAGGTTTAAATAGAAGTAGTCCCATAAAAAAATACAAAAATGTTATTGTTTCAATAAAAAACCAGTTTTCATACAATGAGTCAAGACTTCAAAGTGAATGGAAAAAAAAAACCCAGCCAATAGGTGTTAACATTCAACTGACAACAAAGTTAGAAAGAACTTTAAAGCAGCTAATAAAAATGCTTCAATGAACAAATGATAAACACACTTGAAACAACTGAAAAAGTGGAAGACTTCAGCAAAGAAATACAAAGTCTGAGGAAAGGAGTAAAAGACATAAAGGAGAACCAAATGGAAATTTCAGAACTGAAAAACAGTAACAAAAAGCTTAGTGTATGAGCTCAAGAGCAGAAAGGGGTCAATACACTGGAAGATAAAATAACAGAAACTACCCAACTCAAAAATGAAAAAAAAAATGTACAGGGCCTGAGGGCCCTTGGACTATGAAAGTCTCCCAGAAGTACTATGTTACTCAGTAAGGATAGAGGATACAAGATAAACACACAAAAATCAACTGTATTTCTAGCAATGAACACTTGGACACTGAAATTAAAACTACAATACCATTCACAATCATTTTTTTAAAAGTGAAGATACACAACACTGAAGAAAGAAATCAAAACAGATTTAATAATGGAGAGACATACCAAGTTCATGGATTGGAAGACTCACCATAGTAAAGATGTCATTTCTTCCCAAAGTGATATAAAGGCTTAATGTGTTCTTACAAAAATCCTAACAAGATTTTTTAAAGATACAGACGTGATCATTCTGAACTTCATATATCAAAGCAAAGGAACTATAATAGCTAAGACAATTTTGAAAAACAAGAATAAAGTGGGAGGAATCAGTCTACCTGATTTTAATCCTTACTATACAGCCATAGTATATCAAGACTGGTATGAGTAAAGGGACAGAAACACAGATAGAACTGAGCAAAAAATGCAGGAATTGACTCACACAAGTATGCTGAACTAATCTTTTACAAAGATGTGAAAGTCATTCAACAGAAGAAAATAGCCTTTTCAGTAAATGGGGATGGAGCAATTAGATATCTATATGCAAAAAATAAAGCTAAGCCTCACACCTTCATTTATACAAAAGTTAACTCAAAATGGATCCAGATTGAAATGTAAACATAAACCTAGAGAAACACACACACACACACACACACACACACACACACACACACACACACATATATATTTAGGATCTAGGCCTAGGTAGAGTCTTAGACCTGACACCAAAGCACAATTCATAAAAAGATAAACTGATGAAGCAGACTTCATAAGAACTAAAAAATTTTTCTCTATAAAACATCTTGTGTAGAGGATGTACAGACAAGCTACAAGTGAGAGAAAATATTTCCAAATCACATATCAACAAAGGACTAGCATCTAGAATACTGCCGACCCTCAAACAATGTGGGTTTGAACTGTGCAAGTCCATTTATACATGGGTTTTTTTTTTCCACTAAATATATTGGAAAAATTTTTGGAGATCTGTGACAATATGAAAAAGATTATCTTTTTTCTAGCTTACTTTACTGTAAGACTACAGAACATAATACACATAACATACAAGATGTATGTTAATCGGATATTTATGTTATCAGTAAGGCTTCTTGTCAAAATTAGGCTACTAGTAGTTAAGTTTTGGGGGAGTCAAGTTTTATTTTTGACTGCATGGGGATGGCACCCTTAACTCCCAATTTGTTAAAGTGTCAGCTTTCAAAACTCAACAGTGAAAAAGCAAATAATCCAATCAGAACATGGACAAAAAAAAAAAAAGACCAAAACACAGAGGTATCATTAAAGAAGATCTACCTATACATAGAAAAGAAGAACATGAAAAATGTTCATTAGTCATTAGGAAAATGTAAGTTAAAACCACAATGTTATACCACTACAGATCTACCAGAATAGCTAAAATAAAAATGATGATACCAAATGCTGGCAAGGTGCACAGATACTGACTCGTATATTGCTAGTGGGGGATGTAGGAGCAAACAGGCATTCTGGACAGTATGGCAGTTTCTTAGACTAACCATGTAACTTCCATATGACTGAGCAAATGTACTCCTGGGCATTTATTTCAGAGAAATGAAATTTATGCTTATAAGAAACCCATATATGAATATTTATAGCAGCTTTATTCCTAGTAGCCCAAAACTGGGAGCAACCCAGATATGCGTCAATAGGTGAATGACTTAACAACCGCAGTACATCCATACCACAGAATACTTGGCATAGAGAAAGGAACAAATAATTGATACATGCAACAACGGATCAATCTCTAGATAATTATGCTGAGGGAAAAAAAGCCCATCCCAGAAGGTTACATACCATGTGATTTCATATATGTAATATTCCGGACGACAATTTATAGAAATGGAGAACAGATAAGCAGCTGCCAGGTGTTAAGGAAGGGGTGGCATCAGAAAGGAAGTGAATATGACTATAAAAGGGCAACATGTGATCCTTGTGAGGACAGAAATGTTTATCTTGACTGGCTGTGGTACTGTATTACAGTTCTGCAGGATGTAACCACTGGGGGAAACTGGGTAAAGGATACAGGGGACTCCTCTATTATTTCTTACAATTGCATGTTAATTTACAATTGCCTCCAAAAAATTTTTATTTTTTTATAATGTTATAAGAAAATAGAGTGAAAGGAGAGACTTATTTGAGAGAGACAAAAATGCTGGGAATAATCAGATAAAGAAGGAATCAGAAGCTGAAAAGTAAAGAGGAGGCAGAACCAATGGTGAGCAGGAGCAGATGTTTCTGCCTGGCACTCTTGGGAGAGAGAAGAGTGGGGGGTTGGGGGATATTGCTCTGTGGGAGCCAAATGCTGGCCACACTACAGTGTTCTCTGCTCTGGCCTGTTCTTGTCACGTTATGCTGTGAATTACAGAAGTGGATCCACATAGGGCAACCCCCACCCTGACTATGTTATTCAAACTTCTTTTCCAGTGAACTACCCAGGGTATTCTGTCTCTAGACCAAAAGGGATCCAATTTGAAACAAGCTTTTCAAAAAGTAGTCTGGCCTTCTCTCCATACCTGACCATTTCTTACCTGTCCCCAAGCATACAGGTTATTGTGTGTCTGAGACGGGTTCACTTTGGATAACAGGAATCGCGCCTTTAAGGAAAAAAAAAAAGCTCTAAAGATTAAAAGTGGCATTAATATTAATGTAATAGCTTTTTACCACATCAGAACCCATTTCTGTACCTTAATCCCAATGGCTATTTATTAGGGCTCTTGAAATCTGAAATGTCTATTTTGGCAATCCTCTACTTTTACACCAACATATTTTTGCCACTCATTTGAAGTCATATTTGGAAGTTTACCTGTATGTCAATTTATATCATATAAAATATTAACCATGACAGTGACTGCATTGGGGTGTGGGAGGGACTTGATAATGTGGGTGAATGTTGTAACCACATGTTGCTCATATGAAATATTCGTAAGATTGTCTATCAATGATACCTTAATAAAAAAAAATTAACCATGCTGTTTGGATTTAAAATCCAAAAAATATACCACAAAACCAACAGACTGTCAGTGCTGGACTTCAGCTCACTCACCTGACTGCCTCCATGCTCTGTGTTAATGTAACGTGGCATTGGAAAGCGTGCCTGCAGAATTTCTTGAGCATCTTCTACTGGTGCCTGGAGGAGGTGCTTGAAATTTTCGTACTCAGGCATATCCTGGTACCCAGCTTTATGCCACTGGGCTATGGTCTACACCAAAACAAACAACGACAGCTATTGTGGAAACATTGAAACAACAGCCTTCTTTGACATGTTTAACATTTTAACACTACCACCACCATCCAGAACTTGTTTCCAGTGAAGAAGGCTTATGTCAAAAATGACTAGTGTCAGAGGGAAGCAAAGCAAAGCTAAGGCAAGTATGAATGAGCAAAGAGGTGCATCCAGGGCACCCCCAACACAGTTCTCCCAGAAATGTCAGTTATTGGTCACACCTCCTCTTCAGTTTCTGTTTACATACCAACCAGTTAAAAATGCCCAGGGATTGGCTGTCCCGAGGTACCATAGGCTCCCTTTCTATCCCCTTCCACTGCTATCACTTGGTCTAGACTCTCATGTCCTTACACCTGTCAGGGAGAGGGATCTGTTGGCTTCCTACAGAGAATCCACTCATCCTTCTCTTTCCTAGCAGCACATGTTTTGCATCTACTGGTGTACAGTGGTCACACAGACTGGGTGGGATTGACCTCACCCCTCCCCGGCTTCCCTGGGCTCTGAAATGGGATACTCTTGGTGGGGGGAGATAAAGCTCTAAGAATCAAAGTATGGGTGTTAATTAGGCAAGGAGTAGAAGGCAATATACTGAAGTGTGGAAAGGGCTGTCTCCCCAAGCAGGCTAAACACTGTGTCTCATTCCTTTTTGTAGTCCCATCAGCAGCTGCTGTAAGAATATCTTGTGCATGTGGGAAATCAAGAAATACTGATTGACTACTATTTCTTTATAAATAAGCTGCAATGCTTTCACATGTTACTTAGGGAATCCTAAAAGAGAAAACAACGCAGAGAGAAAATGGAGTAAAAGGAGGTAACTAGTGATTGATGTGTTTTAAAAACAGATGCTTCCTTCTGCTGCCTGCAGCCTCCTCTCTGAGTTTCCAGTATCATTTTCCAGATATTCATTTTTGACTGACTGGTGGCATAGAGTAAATGCCCATAGGCTTCCTTGGGTTCAAGAGTTTATAAGAACACTCACGGGCAACAGACTTGGGGATTTTTGGAGGGTGAGAACAATGTCATTGTCTTGGCCTTTAGAACCCATCACTTGCACACAGAATATAGGAACGAACAGGATGGGGGCTGTGGTCAGAAATGTCTGTAAGGGGTAATCTGAAGTCAAACCTGTGTCATGATTACTGTTCCTAAGGGAACCAGCAGGAACAGTAGCTGGTTACCCAATGGCCCCTGATCTGGGAACATTACTGATGGCCTAGCACCTGCGGGCAAGCAGGAGCACAGTGGATGTTAATATGCTGAAAAAGTTTAAAAACTATAAAAGGTCTACTAGTATTAAAAACTAATTCATCTTAAGTTATTAAGGGAATTCTGAAACACAATTTATCTTTGCAGGACATTTACAATCACTTCTAATGTACCAGGAAATCAAGTCAACTACCAAAGCATTTAACTGAAGGTAAAGAATGTACAACAGAATAGAAAGAAGGTATCACTACATATGATGCTTGATAAAGGGAGTTTCTTCAGAGGAACCACTCCCTTCCTTAGTACATGAATCCCTTTGAGAAAGAAAGGGACCCTCCCCTGGGGGCCATCCACAGCCTTCCTGGGGAACCACAGAACCTGGGTACAGTTTTTTGTGCCACCTTATTTCATCAAAGGAAAAAACCAGTCCCAAACTCACTGTTTACTGGTAACTCTAATATAACTCTGCAAGGACAGTGGTGTGTTAAAAATTTTACAAAGAAAAACTGAACTGATCTTGCCTGACAACTCAGAAAGCAGGAAGTTACAGTGATTAATAGAACCATCTGAGCCTGACTTACAACAAATATTATTAAAATTACTATATATACAAATACCCCAAGGACCTGAAGAAAGATTTTATTCACTAGAATAAAAGCCACCATACCCATTGTAATAAAACTGTGGTGGGGTTCTCTAAGCCCAAATTCTTATTTCAAATGTCATAAAAACTTAAATTAATAAAAAGTTAAAGCAATAGTAAGGAAAGAAATTAATATCATCTTACCTCGCCAAGATAAATAACAATTTGGAAGAATGTATCCATCAGCAAGATTCTGTCAGGTAGAATGCTGCCGCTGTCCAGGAGAACTGGCTGGAGAGAGAGAAAGAGAAGGCACTGGTCTTCCCTCCATTCCCCACACAGTGGCTGCTGCAGCCCCACAGCCAGGGTGCCCACAGAATAGCTACAAGGCTGTTGAAAAATGGTGCCTGGCATAGTGGCTCTCTGCTCTTCATGCCAAATCCCACTTTCTGCTCCCTGACTCGGCAGTCAAGGTTTCAACTTTGTAGAACAAAGAGATTCCAAATAAACCCTGATCATTTAGGAAGGGAGATTAATGGTTTCTTTTGCACTAGGAACCAAAAATAATTCCAAACATTCTCTGTTTTGTGTTAGAAATGTAATTTTATCTATCAGAGATCTATTCTCTCAGATTTACTGCTACGGATGACAGAGGCAAATGATGCCTATATGAAGAGGACAGCTTTTAATGCAAGTTATAAAAGTTTAATACAGAATATATTTTATTGTGATATTTATTTCAATAATAAAAGCAATTTATACCCAGGAGGGACAATTTGAAAATCTATACCCAAAAGTATAACAAATATTGATATTTTGGTTTATTTCCTTATAGTTGTTAATCCTTGCAGGCTTTTAAAAAACACAATTTGGAAAAGTTTCTATTTTGATTTTTTTATGTAACATTTTAACATAACAATTTATCTATTTTATTACATTATATAAACTTCATGAATATTTCCTATTTATTTTCCTACTAGTGAACACACAGATTGTTTTCTAACTTTGCATTTTAACAGTTCATTTACTACTACTTTGAATAAAGCTTTTTCTGTATGTAGGAGTCTTTCCTTCCAATACAATACATGGAATTATTGGACCAAAGTATATGAACACATTGGGAAAAAAGTACCTACAGATTTTTAAAAGTTTTTTTAAATGTAATACTGCCTTCCACAGATAATAGCTTTACATGTCCTGTGACTTTTTACTATGCATATTTTTTTTAAACTCAGAAATAATGTTAAGTTGCTATGAAGATTCAAATTTTTCTTTCTTCTTTTTAAATAATTTTGCTCTAAGAGTAAATATGCTGGAAAAAATATATATTAGGTGATTCCAATTCTGAGAAAAGCATGTGAAAAGCCCATCAGCCTTACCTCTGGTGGTCCATGGAAGGAGTAAGAGTATAGAATGGGCTGGATCATGATGAGGGACTGGGTTAGATCCTGCCGCACGAAATGATGTCTGTAGTATGATGACTCATCAGGACTGTTGTTAAACACTTGAAGAAATGGAGATCTTCTCAGATGGAACATGAACTGCATTTATAAAGAAAAAAAATGTAAACAGTTGTAACCTGAGACACTCAGAGAGCAGATGTGCCACAGATCTCTGAAAAAGAACCCAGACTTGAAGAAAAAATCCTCTAGGCTCATAAACAGAGAGTAAAATTATAGTTCTAGGAGCTGGGGTAAGAGGGAAATGGAGAGCTGCTTAATAGTTTCAGTTTTGCAAAATGAAAGAAGTTCTGGGTCTGTTGCACAGCAATGTAAAGATATGTAACACAAAATGGTGAAGATGGTAAATGTTATGTTTTTTACTACAATTAGAAATAAAAATTATTTTTTTAAAAAGGAGGGGCTCTCTGAGTATCTCAAAGCTTCCAATGAAATGGGAAAGACGGGCATTTATTTCTGGAGTCACTGGGCCAGATTGCAGACAGAATATCTGCTCTTGGGCCTCAGTCCAGTGGGGAAAAGGCACATGCAAGGAGGTGATGTCATGAGCCATGTACAGTGAAGTGCTAGGAGGATGGGGTGAGGGCAGAGGGTCAGCCAGCGTGGGGGTGCAGTGACAACACAAGAGAGGCTGGAGGGCAAGAAATACAGACTAGTGTGCTGGAGTGAGCAGGGTGAGGGACGGAGAGCTAGTGATGACTCCGGAGAGGTGTGATCTTTACCCGAGGGTCAGGAGGTGGAGAGCAAAGCTTGCTCTAAAAAGTTGCCAGAACATGAAATGAGCTGCCTTGGGAAGGACAAAGCTTTCTGAGACTCCAAATATGGAATCACAGGTGCCTAAATAATAATCATGGCCAACATTCAGTGCTTTCTATGTGCAAGGCAAAAAGTACTTGACAAGAATGATTGTAATCCTCCCAGTATGCCTAAGAGGGAGGTTCTCTTACCATCCCTAGTTTATAGGTGAGGAAGCTGAGGGTAGGCACCTTGCCAGAGGCCACCCGCTACTGAGTGGCAGAGCCAGACTTGGATCCAGGTTGTCTGACACCACAGACTGGGCTCTTGACCTCTATCCTAGATGTCTGGTTAGAAGGAATCTTGGAAACCATCTTATTTAGTGTTTTTCAAACTGTGTTCTTCAGAGTCTTATCTGCACTGCAGCGCCAGAGTGGGTGGGAGGTGGGGGCACCAGGTAGGCCACAGAGGGTCAGGGTGGTATGCGGGCACAACAGAGCTGCACCAGTTTGGCCTGCTTTCCATGCCACTTCTGAGAGGGTCCTCTTGAAGAAAGGATTCCATGGCTCTAAAAGACTGCAAACCACTTCTCCAGGCCAACTCCTTCCTTCTAAAGAGGAAACCAAAACCCACAGGGGTTTGGGTCCTCATCCAAGATGAGCAGAAGCAGAGCCAGCACTGGAACCCAGCCCTGAGGCCTCTTTCCACAACATTGTACAGCCTGAACTGCTCAAGAGTGGGCCACAGGGCCACACGTCAGGGACCACAGAGCCCTGTCCTGGCTGGGCTTTGATGAGGTGACCTCTGAGGCCCCCTCTGGCCCTAAGAGTCCAAGCTATACACATTCATGACAGAAGCCCATGTCCACTTTCCAAACAAGTACCCAAAAGGATAATACACATTGGGGTATCTATGTCCTCGCGATTTAGATATGAATTGCGTGCTTCTTTCTAGTTACTCCTCCTAAGGCATCTCTGAGGAAAGTGGGGGGAAAGTTGTGTTTGCTCCCAGTCTGGGAAAGCTGCATCTGGGAAGAGCCCACCCTGGGAGTCAGCACGCCAGTACGGAACTGGCTCACAATTACTTGGCACTTAACAGGTGCCGGCCTGTGACAAGCAGTCCTCAGCCTCAGCTTGTGCAGTCCTCACAGCCGCCCATGGGGCTAAGCTCTAGGTTCTTTGCTCAGATGAGACGGAGGTCAGGAAACACAGCCCCCAGGTGCCCAGCAGCTCCGCACTCTGGCTAGCTCTCCCGCCTTTCCCTTGTCCATCGGCTCATGCCTGCTTCAGGCACAGGGCAGTTATTTCCAGGAGCTGCTTACTACTGTCGGTTCCCAGTCACGATGTGGCATGATAACTACAGGCACGTCTTGAGACAACCGTCATGTTAACTGCAGTCTCATTCTCTCACATCCATCCTCACGTGTGCTTGGCTTTCTTGGTCTGCTGCCGAGGTAGCTGACCATCCACCAGAACCACCGATTAGCAATTTTTCTGTGGCCTTACAGCAACAATCCCGTACCCGTCTCCTCCTCTCTGCCTATCATCTCTGTCTTCTGTAGGGCTTAGGCACTGTCTCAAAAACAGTGTCTGTCATGACCTGCACAGCCTTCACCCTCTACTCTCAAACCACACCAAATCCTCACTTTAGCCTAAAAACAGTACTTTAATTTCTACCACAATGTATTCTTGCATAGTTACTTAAAATATATATATTACTTACCTGAGGATACAGAGAGAAGGAGTCTGATAACCTAAAGGAAGTGGGGTCTTCTTTGTTATACTGTCCAAACTTCTGACACTGTTGAAAGAAAATAGCAAAAAAAAAAAAGAAAAGAAAAAAAAACTTAAGTTAGTATCACCTGGAAAAATCCCTGGAGTGGGAGAATTATATTCCAACCCCAACTCTGACTGTGAGTCCTACACCAGAACTTCTCAGGAAGGGCTGAGCAGACACCGGCTAGGGTGTTGTTAAATTCAGAGTCTGATTCGGGAGATCCAGGGAGGCGCTGGGGAGCCTGCATTTCCAACCAGCTCCGAGGCGCTGCTGCCCAGTGGCCACCCTGACTAGTGAGGGCTGGAGGAGCCTCAGGAGCCTCTTCCATAAGAAAACCTCTAAGACGGTGAAACACCAGCGATTACAGACAACCCTTCACGTTCTAGCACGCTATGACTCAATTTTCTTCCTCCTTTGAAAGGCAAATTTCTGTGCAATGTTTTCTCTTCCTGCCTTTATTTCCTCTTTATTCACACATTTCCTCTGGCCACTGGAGAATCCGACTGTCCCCCATGTAAAGAAAGCCCATCATTGACAGTCACTCTCTCCCTCCCAAATCCCATGTCCTCGCATGGTTCTTCTCTTCCTGAACTTCCTAATACTGCAAGACAAGGGACCCCCGCCACCCCACCCCCCAACTCCAGGCAATTCTCCTTCAGCCACTAAAAGAGCACTTTTCTATTTCTTATCATCTCTCCAACTAATCCTGCCTTCCTCATCGGCCCTGGCCTTCCTACCTGCCTCTAGCTACGCATTCCTCACAGGAGAGTTCTTGGCCACTGCTCCCACCCTCACTGCTTCAGCTGCAAATAATGCCAGACCCATGTCATCCAAACTCCTCCCCTACGTCCAGGGCTGACCTCTAACCTGAGCTTCTGCCAGGACCTGCACCTAAGCAAGGGATAGCTTTCCTTGGACATATTGTTGCAAGGTCACATTTAAAATAAACTATTACATTAAAAATAGATTTACCTTCCTCCACCCTAAATGGGCTCTTCTTTCCCATTTTCTACTTCATCTTTCCTGCAGTTACCCACATTGAAACTTGAGTCAACGTTGATTTTTAGGGTGTTGATTCACATACAGTTGACCAAGTTTTATCAATTCTTCTTTCAGCATGCCTCCTGACTGCAAATATCCTCTCCCCTCCAACTCAACTGCCACCACCCTGCTCTCAGCTCCTGCGAGCTTGCAAAATCCTCCACGGGTCTGCTAACTGCCTTTCTGACCTGTTATCTTACATGGAAATGTGAAGTATAAACACAAACATCGTACTCATTTCGCACTCCTGCTTAAGAGTCACACTTGCCTCTCCCCTTTTAAAGCAGTGGCTCAACTTTAAAATTTGGGTATTCCACAACCAAGATGCACCTTCACCGCTGCTCTCCCCAAAATACAACCTGGCCTCCTGAGACAGTTGTCTCTGTGTCCCCAGAAAGCTGAAATCAGGGTCCCATACTTGGCCCTCCACTTGGCAAGCCTGGCTGCTCCTCCCATTATGCCACTTTTTTAAAAGACTTGATTCAAGGCTTACTTCCCACATGAAGCTTTTGCCAACCACTTGGACCCTCTCTACAGGGAATGTTGGCATTTCCTGAAAAATGGCTCATGGGCAGCAAGGGCACACACAGAGCTACACAAAGTAAAACAGGTTTCCTTCCCAGCTTCTCAGGGCTTTGATCACAAATAGGTGCTGTGAATTTCCAAGGTGGGAAGATTATAAGGTATATCAATTACTGATATACTGGCTCCAAATTCACCCTTTTTGCTCGTGAAATGGATCAGGGCCCTTGAAATAGTTTCCCCCTACCAGATGCCATGAGGTTAAGCAGCTTTGTCAATAGAAGGTGCTGGAGGCAAACGTTTGCTTCTGGGGGTTGTGCTCACTCAGCAGGAGCAATTGTGGCTTCCCCGGTGCTAAACTCCCCTGGGACACAGAGCAGCCAGCACCTACCTCTGCTTCCCAGGTGCCTCTGGGAGACACTTCCCTGTGAACAGGTTTCCTTGGCTCCCCAGTCCTAGGGGGCAAATTTCCAGGGAGTCCCTCCAGCACACCATCACAGCAGCCTCTCTGCCATGAGACTCAGCAGCCATGGTCTAGATCAGTCCTGGCGGGAAGGGCCCTCTTCCTTGGGTGCTCTATCTCTGCCTCAGCCTAGAAGTAGTAGCCGCACCTGTACCTGCTATTCCTTTATTCCTCAGACTTCTTTACTTCCTACTGGCCAATCTCTCATTCTTGGAGTCCGCTGCAGTGATAGTAACTCTTTATATAAAACTTTCCCTGTTTAAATTACTGTGTGGTTTCTTGCTCCTGATTAGACCCGGAATGACATATTAGGCACCTTCCTACATTCACTGGGCCATGGACCTCTATTTCCAAAAAAATGAAAAAACCTCCAAGATCTGAAGGGAAAATACATAACCACAGCATTCACAGTGACTCATCTAAATCAACTCTTAACACATATTTGCATTACTCTCTAAATGGTCTGCACCTGCTGTTTCTTCCCAAATGTTAACAGAAGCCTTCAAGGGCAAAATGTACATTTAATACTTCAATATGATTCTCAGAATGTTGTGTTTGGCATAAGGTAAGCAACTGATTAATTCTTGTTGACTGACTATATAAAATAACAGGCTTAAGTGAGTTTTTTTTCCCCTCAAAAGCAGAGCAGAGACGAAGACTGAACCCAGTGCCACTGTTCCCAACTCACCAGTCGGATGAGCTGTCGGTCCAACCACCGGAGTACATCGGGGCCCTCCTCAGACTCTGCTCGGAACACTCCCAGCCGTGCCATCAAGACAGCCGCAGCCTCCTGGTCAAACGCTGCTTCTATGTGCCTGAGCTGACTCTGTGCATCTGCCCAACTGACAAGTCCAGGGTTAATGCCAGGCTTACACTCAGCAGTGACCAGAAAGCCAGCTCTCCATCAAGAAAAAGAAGCACAAGTCTGGGTCCCTACTCTAAGACAACATGGATTTGAACTGCACTGTCAGCAAGGAATCACAGGAGCTTTACATACACTTGCACATTTACTCTCATGGGATCTCTGAAGGCTCTAGATGCAAAAGGAAAACTGGAGAGAACTTTCTAGTGTTCTACAAGCCATCATGAAAGTAGGTATCCAAAAAGTACCTAGGTCTCCAGCCACCATTCCTTCCTCTGGGCCAATTCTACAAAAGCCTATGTTTACAAATTCACAAAATGACTTTCCAGCATTATATCCATAGTAGAAAGATTTAACACATATACAAAAGTTTTCCAGAAAAATAGACACTATGAACAAAATTAAAAGGTAACAGGTAAGAACAGATATGAACAACAAATAATAGTCATACCCAGAATATACAGAGTCCCTGCAAATCAATGAACAAGAAAAACAGGTTTTACTGAATGGGCAAAGGCTATTACAGAAGAAATACACGTGGCCAATAAGCATGAATGTGCTTAATCGACTGTTTAACTGGAAAAAAAACACATAAAAATGACAAATTTCTCTATCTGCATGTTAAAGATTGGTAATATCTATTACTAATGAAAAGACAGGTCACTCTCCTTACTACTGGAAAGAATACAAATTAGCTTCTTAGGAGAGTAGTTTTACAGTATCCAAAATTCCAGTTCCACAAAGCGGCTGGGATGAAATACTCATATTTCACAAAGACTTCAAAATATGAATCCAGCACTGTTGGAAGGAAGGTAGGACCTGAAATGGCCTTTAATAAAGGACCTGAATGGCCCCATCAAAACCAGGCAGCACTATGCAGCCATAAACTCAATGAGATGGAGGCTTATATACACTGACATGGAAGATGTCCTTGACACACTGAGAAAAGCTTATAAATATGTTAATATGAGAAGCCATACATGTATGTAATACACACATCTGGTATGCAATTGCACAGATGTGCCATTTTTTGTGAAGTTAAATGCCACTATAAAAAGAGAACAGGTGAAGAGATCCATTCTTTCTGTAACGATGAGTGGCCTGAATCCTTTATAATTAATGGATTACTTATCTGCTAATTAAATAATGAAAAATAATTTTTAATGAGCTTATTTCTGAGAGATGATTGTTTCAGGCAAGTACCTCTAAGCCTAACTGTGTTAGCCAATGCCTCTTGCTCCTCCTCCTCCTCCTCTGATCAAATAAGCCAGTGAGAATTGGTGAGAACCAGTCAATGTATCACAAAAAGACAAACTAATAGATACTAAATTATCTCTTCATAGGCACATCATCGGTCAGTGGCTCAACGGACGGAAACTTGAAAACTGGACTGCTCACTTCCGGGCAACTGTGGTCACACGGATGCGTCTCTGGGTGCTGGAGTGCTGGTACTGCGTGACAAACTGGATGGCGCCTCTGCCTCCTTGGGGGATTGGGGCGTTGTGCTGCAGGGCAAGAGGCCATATACTCCATTACTGTGGTAGGTGTGACTCAAACACAAAACATGCTCTTCCTCAAACTGACACAGTGGCAAGAATAAGGTTCTTGATGCGTTTTGAATAGTACATTTAACATAATAGTACATGTAACTTCTATGCCCAAAAAAGAACCATAATCAAATGAACACCGAACTGAAGTTAATGATATGCATGTTGAAGGATTTAGAGATGAAAGACACTGATGACTACAATTTGCTTTGAAATGCATCAAAAATAAGATGAACTGATGGATGGATATGTGACAAAGCAAATATAGTAAAATGTTATTTACAGAATCTATGTGGTGGGTATGTGGGTATTCACTGTACAGTTCTTTTAATTTTTCTGTAAGTTTGAATTTTTTTAAATAAAATATTAAGAACTGACACACTCAAAAATTCACCAGCATGATATGGCTGGTAATTGTAGGTCTGCTTTGGTTATGTAGCTGTATTCCTATTATGTTAATGTGTGCACACAATTGAATTAGTAGTTTAAAACCTATACATGCTTATGTTACACTACAAGAAGATTATGTCAAAGAAATAATCAGTCTTCCCATGTTTTCTTCCGTCTGCTACTTCTATAGCTTTTCTTCTTCCTTCCTAATTACAACCCTTTAGTAGAATTCGTGCCTCATATCGAAAATTACCGAGTATCATAATTCTTCCAAGTGGTAAAGATACCTCAAGACAAATGCTAGGCATAGAAGCCACAGGGCATAAATCTGCAAAGAAGTAAAAAGCTAACCTTTTCAAACAATATGGCTTCTCTCTCACTTACCAACTTTACATTTCCCTGTATGGCCCCGGAAGATGACTGGTTAGCCAGAGACGGGTAAGATTCCTCAAGGGAGGAACAACCTAAGACAGGCACAGTCGCAGGGGGGCCATCAGGTGAGAA